CGTGAGCTGCACCTCCAGGTGCTGGGGCAGGAGCCCCGCCTAGGGGACCTCTCTCCTTTACTGTGATACACTAGATTATTAGTAACCCTAAACCCAGCGACCTTGGCCTTCTGGGTCTCGGGCTGCTAAACCCTAAACCCTAAGCCCTGAACCCTAAACCTGGACCTTGATACGAATCATCCTAACTATGGGCATCCCGGAGCCAGGACCTCGACTTTTTGCAAGCCCCACTTAGTTCCTACCTGAACCCTAAAGGTATGTAGAATTATGGGTTTAGGGTTTAGGGTTTAGTGGGTTATGAACCCTAAAAGTATGTAGAATAATGGCCTTTTGGGCTATATTTTTGGGTAGTGGGCTATAATTTTTTACCTACTTTTGGGGTCCAGGTACAGAATTCCTAGCGGGGACCCCTGCAATCTTCTCGTCCTTGGGGGTTCAGGGTTTGGGGCTTAGGGTGTAGCTTTCAGGACTTAGGATTCAGCATATGGGGCTTAGGGAGGGTTTCTTGGGGTTGGCTATAAGGATATGATGGTGAAATGAGGTAATTACAGGGTAGTTCCACACAGGGCCTTGATATCGACCGGAAGCTACTACGACCCTCATCTGGGGCCCTCATGTGGGGGACTCCCGAAAATGGGGTGTGGGAGTCCCTCTGGAGGATGATTTCAACGAACTCCGACATTGCGGCCATGGACCGCAATGACAACTCCACTGCGCCGTAAAGCTGGCAGAGAACAGCTTGTTTTTGTGGGTCCCTAAATTACCTAGACCCTCCTCCTACCCTCTATGAGGGCATAAGTACCTACTATTAGGGACCATATATCTCCAATTAAGGGTACAAGGAGGGTCCTGGTAGGAATGTATTTTGTGGAGACGTTATTTTTTTCTCGGCGGCGACCTATATCTCAATCCCTTACCCCGGGGCTCCATGTCTATAGATAGTGCCTACCTTGGGCCCCAATGTCTATAAATAGTACCTACATTGGGCCATTTGGAGCCCTAAACCCTAAGCCTCGTACCCTAAGCCATACACCCTAAACCTTAAAACCCGCAGTACCTACATTGGGCTATTTGGAGCCCAAGGGTTAACGCATGACAGCTAAAGCCTGCAAGTCCAAACAGCAGCCACCTGAGGTTGGGGGACTCTGGCCGCAGACTCAGCGGACTCAAACAAACCCCCCAGGGAAAGTTGATGGAGAAGAAATCGAAACTACTATTTAGGGTTTGTACGTTTAGGGTATAGTCCCCCTTAAGTAGATAGAATATGGGGTATATGTGAGTATAGGACTTAAGGGGTCGGCGTACCGTCGGTGTACCCAAAAATTATACACTTATAGGGCTTTGATATGAGTATTTGTCGGGCAGGTTGGGGGGGGAGGGGGTGTGGTTGAGGGAAGCGTATGGCTCTTGGTTACTTGGACCCTCGAGGTTGTAGCACCCTTCATAACGCGGAAGTTTCTTCCTTCTTCGCTACTTCAGCTCTAATGCTGGAAGCTTGGCAGGGTATGCCTAAGGTTCAAGTCTGCCCTTGCAGAATACTTTAGCGTTTGGGCTCGTGGCAGCGATTGCATGTAAGGCTTTGCATCAACCCTAAGTAATCTGAAGCTTCCAAACTATAAGCAGTCCAAACGCTGAGGTATTGACAAAGTTTAACACGCATCAACACAATAGATTTGGCCTAAGGACCTGAGGATAATATGAGCTGCAGTCTAAACTCCTTAACGAAGTTATATAGGGGATGATATAGGTGAGTATTCTAGGGGATTGAGGGGTATACTAGGAGTTTAAACTCTAGTTCATATGCTTATTGCCACATGCTCTCGTGAATGTTCTTCCGTACTTAGAGGTATGATCTAGGCAGGGGAAACGGCACTGATGGCCAGGTACTATGCTATAATCCCTTCTGCTTACCATTGCATGAAACACTTGTGTTTTGCCCCGAACCCTAGAATCCACTAAACCCCGTGAAGACCACAATTGCCCGAGGCAAAGGCATTGCCTAAACTGAGAGCCAACTCTAGGGTGTACTTACTGGTGGTCAGCAGCGAATATGGGACTACAATCCCAAGATAGACCCGCCTATATACAACCTATATAAACCTTCATAAATCCTGTATGAATCCTATGTATGAGTCCTATATAAACACAATGCAGATCCTATATAAACCCGATATAATGGGCCCTAAAACCTTCACCCTAATTATTGGCTGCCTTCTTCCCCACTAACCCCAAACCTGGAGGAGGGAGGGAGGGAGTTTAGGGTTTAGGGTTTAGGGTTTAGGGAGGGGAGGGAGGGAGAGCAGATGAGAACGGGATGCTTCTGAATGCGGCTTCTTGTGCTTAGGATTTAGGGTCTGAATGGGCATGCAGAATTTGAGTGCGTCCACCAATGTTGACAGTCCGAATGCTACAGTGTGTAACACATTGAAACCAGGACACGTGGCTTATTCCCTATTAACCCAGATATACTCCCTGTTGTAATGGAGACGTTTCCATTTTCTTTTCCATTATTCCTTTATTCCCCCATCCAAGCAGAGCCACTGACTAAACCCTAAACCCCTTAAGCCCTCTAGGCCCCGTAGACCCCTGAACCCTAAACCGCGCCACCCCGAAAGATCCTTTTTTTGCCCAAAGACTGCTCATTTAATCCCTATATACCCCCTATATTCCCTTTCTAGCCCCAATATACTATAGTAGGATCCATTTTCTGTTCCGTTAGCCCTATATAGTCCCTAAACCCTAAACCCTATTATAACTATTACTATTATAGAGCCCCTATATGACCCCAATGTAACTTAAAGAACAATGATTTCTTTGACCTATTTGCACGCCCAGGCCTCGCAAGTTGTAAGTTTGGGGTTTTAGGGTTTTAGGGTTGTATGATTTTAGGGTTTCATGGCTTTTACGGTTTTAATGTTTCAGGGTTTTACGGTTTTAGGGTTTCAGGGTTTGAGAGTTTTACGGTTTCAGAGTTTTAGGGTTTCTGGGGTTCAGGGTTTTGGGTTTTTTGGGTTTTAGAGTTTCAATGTTTTGGGGTTTTTGGTTGTATGTTTTGGGGGTTTTAGTGTTTTAAGGCTTTAGAGCTTTTACGGTTTTTTCAGGATTTTAGTGTACTAGGGTTTAGGGTTTAGTGCTTGACCTTCGCAGTCCCAATCCTCACAGGAGCAGGCATATCTTCATCCTATGTGTTACGGCTGTTTAGTTTCAGCTTTTTAAAGCTCTGCATCCACACCATGTCCACCTTACATGCACAGTAAGGCAGCCTTTGGATCGTTTCTGGGATCTACTTGCTGCGGGTTAGTACGAATTAAGAATAATGGGATATGTTATACAGGGCCTATATATAGTCTATAGCAGGGATTATCTTCCCTACTAACCACCAGTGTAAGTCTAGGGTTCGGTTCAGGGCTTCATGGGCTTGGAGTTGTGACTTGAGCGTTTATACGTGCCCTCATCTTCAGCGAGCTTTTCAGCATGTGCCCTATATCCGAAGGATGAGCTTCTGATACAGCCAGGCAAGCCCTTATGTGAGTCTTCAGACTGCGCCATAGCTACTCTAGGGAACCCTACAGAAGCCCCATTGACCTTTGCTGTCTTTATATAGACCCCTCAGGCTCCAGGTTTGCTAGGGGAAAGGTAAGCCGCCATCCTACACCCAGAAGCTCACCAATGCAACCCGTAAAACTAGCGCGAACCCCAACTCCTTGTTGGAGTACCTGAGGCGTTGGGAAGACGGCTTTGGTGGTAAAGTTCGTTGACGACGGCTTCAAGAATGACTCTGGTTTGCTGAGCAGTATGTTCTTTTTCTGGTTTAGGGCGTAGGAGAAGCAAGGGTTCAGGGTTCGTCTTCGTGCTGCTTTTTATGAAGCACTGACCATGCTGCACGCAACGCAAAGTCCAGGAATGAACGCTTCACCGCATTGACATGAAGAAGCCTGATTACCTGGACCCCAAAAGTAGGTTAAATTATACCCCAGAACACCAAAATATGGCCCAAAAGGCCATTATTCTACAATACTTTTAGGGTTTAGGTAGACACCATTAAATGTACAAGCCTGAATAGCTGCTGATTTGCTTCCCCTTTCACAAACATTGCACAACTAGAACACCATGTACCTCTAAACCCTATTACATAGACCAAAACGTCACGGAAGGGCACCTTGCTTTCTGGGGTGCTAAACAAAATGGGGCTTGAATTTTAGTTTTCCCACCCGGCCCTGAACCCCAAACAGCTAACATTGACTCCTAAGCCTCGAATCCTGTTGCTCTCTGGTGCAGACTCCTGATCTCAGGACAAAACGTCGACCATTGGTGCGCGACTTAACCCCCAGATTTTACCAGAACGCGCTAGAAGACGCATAGGCCCCTATATCTACCCCTATTTGGGTCCTGGTAGGGAACTCAGGTTCTAATAGACCATGGTGTTGTGGGTAATTCTCAGATGTCCGAGCCTTCTTTGCGGACTGATTCTAGGAGAAGGCTACTGGGTTTTCGAACTTGCAGTACGGTAATTAGGTTTACGGAATCGACCCATTACCGACAGTGATATCAAACAAGCTCACCACCCTACATGAAACAGTCCCTATAAATCATTTTGTGTGAATATAGAGACCAGTATTTTTGAGGTGGGGTGTTTGTACACTAGAAAGAATCCATTAGCTGCAAATTCTTCCTGGTGTACCCGGGTGAAGGGCCTTACTATTAGGATCCTCCTCAAAATCCCTATTAAGGGGCGGGGGGTTATTAGTCACGGGTCTTCATTAAACCCTGAAGCCCCTAGGATCCACGGTTCGTTTCCCGAAGTTTCACCCACACGAAGATGCTACAGTCCCAGCTCCTCTGTTACTACCCTAACCCCAAACCCCTAAAACCCTAAACCCTAAACCTCAATCCGGGATCCCAGTCTCTGCACCCTAAAACCGTTGGGTGATGGATGGTCCTAGATTCCTTGTATACAGACGGTATAGGGTACACTGTACCTCCAGTGGACCTCAACATGATATTGGTAACTATGCAGCCCCCTGCAGTACATATTTACCATAAACCTCTACAAGAGCCAATGTCCATTTCATTTCCCACTTTCATGTCCCATTTGATTCTCCATTATTTGGAGTATAATATCCAGAAAGCCCTATATACAACCTTTGAAAGAAAGTCTTCAACCTTGTGAGCTTCAACTTTGTGCCGGCAGCGAGGTATCGACTTCAAGACGAAGATGCTTTTCATGAGAGGCAATGAACAGTTTTCTGGGCTTCAGGCTTCGAGGTTAGCATGGGTTTCTGGTCTACCTGGCTAAATCACACCTAGACACTTTGCCGCGTCCGTCGCCGTCTTTCTGAAGGCAACACACAACAGCGCGTCTTTCTCGGTATCCCTGCCCAGGCTACAGTAGGTAATGGATACGTACGTATTGTTGATACTACCCGCCTGTATGACTTTGATATCCTCGAGCAAGGGTCTCCTATGTACAGGGTATGTCGGGCAGTGCAAGAGTTTTGGTATCCACCGTAGTACACATCAGCACTGTTCTGTTTATCCTCCGTTGTCAGGGTACATGTGAACAATAATTGGGTTCCTTCAAAGGGATATTGGGTGCATAGGGGTATTCAAGAACATGTAGAGTGTAGGATCCATGTACACAATGCCTGGGTACTTAGGACTCTTGGGCACGAGTTATCCTGCAACAGCTCTCGGGGAGGTTTTTGAACATTGGACACCTGGACACTTAGGGCAAATGGAAGTCTTCGTTGATATGACAGCTTCCTTAGCGTCCAAGGACCCAAATAATAGGGTTCTAGTATAATATAAAGGGTATTTGGGCCCTCAAACCCTATGATTTGGGTCCCTGGACCCTTAGAGCAGCACAAGGCCTACAACGGTATGATTTTGGGCTGGATTAAAGGGACCCCAGTTCTCGGACCCATTTGTGGCTTCATACCCTGAACCCTTAACCTCAAACCCTAAATCCCTTAATACCAAATCCCTGAACCCTAAACCCTGAATCCCTAAACCCCAAATCCCTTAACCCTAAATCCCTGAACCTTAAACCCTGAATCTCTAGACCTTGAATCCCTAAACCCTAGCCAGGCAAGCGCGTGAAGCTTCAGATCTGGGATACTGCCGGCCAAGAGCGCCATCAGACAATCACGCAGCAGTGCTCCAGAATTGAAGGGTTTCATAGGGGGCATATATTAGGGGTATATTGGGGCTACTATTTATAGTCCCCTTAAGTAGATAAAATTTGGCTTTGGCTATATTATAATAAGATCCACATATACCCCATAGTCTATCTACTTAAGTGGGACGATACCTGTAAGCTCCATCTTTCCGTAGTTTGGTCGTATCACCTACGTAGTGGCATACAGCCTAAAACTGTAGGTACTTGAGGTTACGGGAAAGGCCTACGGACAGCACTCGTGCCTGGAAAGGATTTCTACAGGGAAGTTAGGGGTTTAGGTTGGAGGTTGGGCGGGGGGGAAAACTGGTGTGCGGGTTTCCGCATACAGTTACCCTAAACCCTGAAACCCTAAACCCTAAGCCCTATAGCAAAGGAGCACACCCTAAGGATCCAAATAGCCCAATGTAGGTAATATTTCCAGACTTTTGGGCCCAATGTAGGTATTATTTGTATGCTTGGATCCCTAAATAGAGGCAATGCAAGCATATCAGGGGATGATGGACGGTTCTAGCTGTCAGCTTCGCGATTGGGACCCTAGGATCCCAACATATGAGCTATAGTCTATACTCCTTGAAGGGGGTTATATAGGGGATTATATGGGGTTTGGGGTTTAGGGATTAGGGTCTAGGGTTTTGGGTTTTGGCTTTAAACTCCTTAGGAGTGGTTATATGGGGAAGTATATATATATATATATATAGGGGAGTATTCTAGGGCTTGATAAGGGGGAGACTAGGAGTTTAGACAGCTCCTAGCCTTAGGCTCCTAGGTGCAGCCTTTTGAGAAACCCAATACAAGCGAGTGTGCAGGGGCACCCTGTGAATATTTTTTTGGAGGGAGTCGGTTGGGTAGGGGATGTAGTCTAACTCCAAACCCCAAACCTTATGAACCCTAAACCCCGCACCCCAAGTCCTCACCCCTGGTGCTACGGTTCGAGGAGTGAATTTCATGGGTTGACACCAGTGAAACCTCGGTTGGCACGGTCCCGCATAAAGGATGTACGACTGCCTGCCCTAAACCTTAAACCTCTCATCTATCCTCAACCCAAAACCCTGAATCCTGAATAGTAGCCTCCATTTTTCATTATCTCTATCTAACCCTGATTATTGGGGAAAAATATCCACCCGAACCGTGAAACCCTAGACCTGAAAACGCGAAACTTTTTCTTTTCTGCTTGGGTGGTGCTTGGGCCTGAGGCGCTGCTACTGCAGGGCAGAACTCCAGGTAATGAGGAATGATCGTTATGATTTCAAGTTTTCCAGTGTTTCATAAAGGGTTATGATTGTTACCATAGATATTGTTCATACTCTATTGTTTATGTTGTTGCTGTGATTTCTTTGCTGTTAAGTAGGCAAATTTAAAGGAGGAATAGATGCCCGTAGCTTTTGCGTTATGGGTTTACGGGTTAGGGCTTGAGGGCTTAGGGTGGTCTAGTATGTCTTTTCCACCTTCATGTTCACCCTAAACTAAACCCTACGCCCTCCTAGCAACCAGCAATATGATCCAGGTACTATCGCAGCGCCATGGGAATCGTCCTCTGCTACGATGTCACGAGCGAGGCGCTGCATGTGCATCGCGTGCCTCTTACTAAACCTACTGGAAGTTGCAGCGCTTTCGCAGCCCACATGCTGGAGAACCCGGCCACTCATGAAGCCCATCTTAAAAATGCGCTTGCTTGTCTCACGCTCCAGGTTGCTTGCAGCCTAACACAATCTCATCCTCCAGCCAATCCCTGCCAACCACCTTAGCTGTTTAAGCTGCTTGCAAGTCCCGGCAAAGTAGTGTTTCTTCCAACAATACATGAGTATGACGGCAGGTCCAGCAAGCGGAGCAACCCGAAAGACAGAGGGAGGGACACCCAGCGCACGTTTGATTTTCCGGCCTCCAAAGCCCAACCCTGCATTTGCTCCTGTGGGGGGGAAAAGCCTATCAAGCCACAGATTATTCATCCCTGTGCACCTTGTACGGACACCTTGCTTTAAGGTAGCGGTGGTAGTAGCACTACTGCTGCTCATATCGCTACAAATGCTCCTATTGCTACTACTGCAACTCCACCGTTGCTACTACTACTGCTGCTGCTACTGTTACTACTTCTACTGCTGCTACTACTGCTACTATTGCTAGTACTACTACTACTACTACTACTACTACTAGGCGCCCCCCCCCCAGGCACTACCTTTTACTTGAATCTAAACATAAATTTCCTGAGGAGGCGGCCAGTAGCAGTAGTAATGGAAATGCCGGGTATGCTGCCCGGACCTAGCAGGCGTGGGTTCAAGTGGCCATCCCCTAGAGGCGCTACGTCTCAAATTGCTTGAATATTACGGCATTGTTGCTAGGTTCGGGCACCTGGAATGCGCGCGCCCGAAATTACCATTTCGGGCGCTCAGGTTTTCACCGTCGAGCTCTCTTTGCTGCGCATTTCAGCGCGACATCCACGCTCTTTCTGTGAGACTTAATTTGTTCTCGCATTTGCCGCAAGTTCACCAT